ACCTAATTGAAACTAAGGCCTTGAAAACTAGTTGTTGCCAAAACAACAGACAGAAAATTATTTTATATTTCACATTTTATGTTTTATTTTTTATATATAACAATAAAACTTTTAAAAAGAAGATAATAAGTTTTAATAATGGTTTAGAAAAACTAAAATAAAAATCAAGCAATATTGTAGTGAAATCTTGAAATAACTCGATGTATAAGAACCTTTAAAATTACTTTGTACAATACAAATTATACACATTTTTCCATGAAAAGTATTTACGTTTAAAAAGTGATTATCCTTTATAAATTAAAATTAAATTATTGTCAATACATATACATATTTCAATAAAAACTATTTTAATTTGATGTTGAACTATACCTTTTAAGTTTTTTTAAAAAAATTTGATCATCAATTTCCGGAGTTCTGTACTACTATAAAGATTTAGTCAAAACAAAAATGGACAAATGTTTTTTTATGGTAACTTAATTGTATGAGGTAAAAGGGAAGTGTACTTCATATTTATTTATTTTTGTCTCTGCAGCCAGCGGCGAAGTGCTATAGAGTTAGAGAACTCGCTCATTGTCAAAGTGGAAATTGTGTTCATAAATCAGAAACTGTCGCACATGTGTGACACCCGAAACCTCCGAAACTCCCTTTACCACTTTGACTACCACTTCCACTCCCATTCGCACTCCCCTTTTGGCCTCCTGTTTATTGTGTTGTCAATTTGCTGCGCTCGTTGGCTTTCTGGCTGCGATGGCGTAATTAGATTTCGGCCTGGCCCAGTCGCTTCGGTTTGGTTAGCTTAGGTTGGGTTGGGTTGGGCTTGGCCAGGATAGATGGTGGTCGGAGGATGGGCTGATGGGAAGCAAACCACGAAAACGGGAAGTGTCGGACAATTAAGGCAGCGCTGGAGTCCAGCAGGGAGATCCTGATCTGGCGAATGAAGGAAGCTGCGAGCGAGTCAATTAAAACGTTCGATACGATCGCAATCGATGCTGCAATTTCCTCAAAACCAAATGACCAACTGTCCAAGTTTTAAACAAAACAATTTGATGGCAATTAAGTGGCGGTCTTTGCCATTGTCAAAACTGGACCAACGAATCCATCGGCTCAACCAGTCGATTAGTTGAGCGGGATGAGCGGGATGAGCGGCTGGAAGCGTCAACAGAGCCACACATTTGGCCAACAATTGTTGCCCCTGATTCAGGCTCGGAGTCACTTTGTTAGTTGGTTAAACTTCCGCACCACAGCGATGGCGTCTGGAGGAGATGGCGATGGAGCCGGGAGATGGCGACGACGACTGCATCCGCAATGCAACTTTCTGTGTGAGATTTCCGCCTGTCGCAGCTGCAACTGGCGACGCATCTGGCGACCGAAGGGGGTTCCCAGCGAGGGAGGAGCTCCTCCGACTTCTGGCGCATCTTCAGTGTCTGAATTTATTACGAGATTGCAAATCTCCACCGCGATTACAGCAATTATGTGGCTTTCGGAAGGAGGTTGGCACATTGCCCGAGGAACGTGGCAGTGGCGAAGCGTTAGAAAGTGTCAGAGGGGGTCGAAAAATGCTAAAGCCATGCGTGAAATCTGTATTTTTTGATTTGAAAAATAGCAGTGAGGAAACCTGATTTATTAAATATTATAACTATGCTGTTTTTTAATTTTTTCAAGATATGGTTTATTATTCTAGATTTAAATCTAGAAAATCGGACGACTATAGCATAATCTCCCATGGAAACAATCGAAATATAAAAAAAATAAATGAAACAAAATTGTAACTTCTCTAATTTTCAATTTTTGTTTGTATTTCTTTTGGACATATAAATAGTTTAATAATTCAGCATTACGTTTTTAATTTTATTCAAATCGGAAAACAATATCAAATATATCATATAGAATAATTGGGGTAAAAATCTTTATAGCTTCAATGTGTTTTTATTCGAAATTTGGATGTCTTAAAGATGTTTTTTTTATTTTTGCAATTGCTGCAAGGGTATTGAAACTAATATTTTGAATAAAAATTGTACATACAACTGTTAAATCTTACTATTTTTTGGGTGCAATAAAGGATGCTCGCCTCCCCCGTTAATAAATTTAGTTTACGCCCCTGCCCGCTTACATGGCTTTCCTCTAATAACTCAATTTCAACACTAGCAAAAACAAATGTGAAAGTGCCAAAAGCCGCCTCCTCCGGTAACCACCAATCATAGCCAAAAATACCCCAATCGGCTCAGCATCTGGCTCAGGTTTGATGCACTCTACCAGATAGCGATAGCCCGACCTCGGCGGCACTTGGAGTGCCGCTATAAAGTCCCACCATGGGCCGCAATAAAATAAAATGAAATAAAGATAATTTGTCAGCTACTTCATCAGCGGCAGCGCGTGCGTGACTTGTGGCATCGAGGAGAGCGTGCTTGAGTCGCGGTTGCCTGTTGCATAACTTCTGCTGTTGAACTTTCCCAGGGGTTAAGACCCCTCTCTGGGACGCCCCCTTTAAGGGGATAAGTTCTTCCTATAAATCACATAATCATCAGGGGCCGGGCCTCATAGGAAATGCGTGGCTATGCATTTCACTGGTTGCCATTAATAAATTAATTATACAACCATGACGCGACTGAGCTCAGTTTTATCCACAGTCGCACGCACACAATACGTAAAAAACAAAAAACAAAAAACAAAAATAAAAAACAAAAAAATGCACACTGATATAAGAAAAACTTGAACATTTTTGTCATCAGCGCAACAACAGCAAATATTGTGCAAATGTTGATGGTCAAAAGTTGGCTCACGCCTTGTCCAAAGCCATGGCCAAAAAAGCAGCTCGAAATGCAGTCAGCTAAAAGGCAAATAGCAAGTGAGTGGTGACGATGTTTTCCAATTTAAATAGTCGAAAATGGGATGCTCTTTATGGCAAAGCATCAAAATCAACGCAAATTTATATTAAGAAAAATTCTTGTAGACTGAAACATTTAAATTTATCAAGTCGCCAGTAAGTTGACAAATAAAAGTTAGTACAAGCTACTAATGGGGTCTTCAATTTGCATTTCTCCTAAGAGTTAGGAATGCAAATGCATTTCCCCGAACAAATCCCAAATTCGACTTCCTTCTGAGCGTTGCAAATTTAATTACCAGCATATTATGCCGCACACAAAAAAAAACAAAAAAAAAGAAGAAATATGGAAAATGCAACAGCCCCACACCACACCAGACCGGGCCAAGTCTACTGCTGACTGGCAAAGGAAAATGGGAAAATGGTAAAAGCGAAACAACAACAAACCGGGCGTCTCTGTGAAAACTGCGCGGCCCCGAACACACACAAAACTCAAGTGGCGCGAAAATTCGAGGCACAGTTGCAGCAGCAGCGCGCAAGCGTGCGGTTTTCCTCCACAGTTTTTCCAGCCAAAAGTAAACAAGGCAAAACGAAACGAAAACTCAAATTAAAAGTCGCATTAAATAAATGAGAAACGAACGAGGACTGCGACGGGCAAGTTTAAACAAAGCTCAAAGACAAAGTTAAATGATATAGCCAAAGTTTGCTTTTTTCCGCAAAGGATATGAGAATATTATTTTGCAAAAAAGACTTGTATTACATTTTTCACAAGTGCTGGCTAACAAGAATGTTAAATACCTGATAACAAGTGCAATACAAGGAAGATAAACGATAAAAGAAAAGTTGAACATTAAACTATTACAGGATTGTTGAGTTAAAGTGGCAAAAGCGAAAACTTATGAGTGGAGCACTTTGTGAATTTAAACCATTTAGGGAACACATTTTTTAAGGCTTAGCCAAAATAAGAGAACTGTATTTGTAGTGCATAAAAATATTGTGACAATTTTGGTAAAAAAAATTGAAATAAATGAATGCAAGGCTAAACATATTAAGGGATGTAATGTTTAGTTTTGATTCACTTTCTCAGTATCATGTTAGAGTTATTCGAACTGAAAACTCTTTAAAAAGAAAGGGAAAAGCTAACTTTTTTGCTTTTCGAGGTTGAGAAGTACAAGTATTCAAACGTTGAGTGTGGCAAGACAAAATGTTAACCTCACATTAAGAAGACGAATTTTTGGTTTCCGTTCATAATTATTTCCAGGAATCTTTTTCCACAGATTACAACCTTAACAAGACATTGAAAAACGGCCCTTAATTGTTTAGTTTCATTAATTGTTTTTCCTGTAAAAATATTGTTTAACAACAAACCAGATTGAAAATACACATTAGGTTAAAGAAAATGATATTTGAATTTGAAATGGTGTCGAAACCAAGCTTGTTAAGTTGCAAAACTAATATTTATATTTATTTTACACTCAGAAAACTAGATTCCTTGAATTCAGGAGAACATGGCCTAATTTTGGAAATAATTGCCGTAAATTTGTGCTTTTCATACAACATTTGGAAACATATGAGATAAAACTAAGTTTAAGGCCATAATGGCCTTGGGTGTCGTTTAAGGTCATGTTTTACTTAATTGAATCTTTAAAACTATTGCAGCATAAATATTAAGCTTAAAGAAATTAAGTTGAGATCTTACAAACAAAACTTTTTACCCCACAACACTTATGCAATATTTCCAGGCAAGACATTAAAAAAATTGTATTATTTTTTTTACCGCTGAGCACAATTGAAAAGTTATGCATTCACATTACCAGTTTAAAGATAATGACGTGAGGGGTCTGAAAAATAAGACGAGAGCTTAAAAAGCATTTTTCGCAATTAACTCCTGACATTGCCTGTTATATTCAACAAATACTTTTTGCAACATTTTCAGGCTATACAAACGAAATAGTTCAACGGTGAAAAACTCATTTACAATTTGCATTAAAAATACCAAGATAAAGAAAAGCAACGTGGGAGAATAACAGAAATTTAAACAACAATTACAAATTGAGCTGCCACTTTTGTGGAATCCGCGAGAAGAGCAACGTGCAACGTGCAACGCGCAACGTGCAACGTGCAACTTGACGCCTCATTTGGCCGAACTTCCGCCGACGTCCGACACGACCCAAGGAAAATGGCTATCTGCGGCGCCGGCCCCACCTTAATGGTAAGTGCACGGGGTTCATCATTCTGAAATTTTAATATAAATAACCGACAACTGCGAGGGCCATCGAGGCGTGAAAACAACAAGCGCCAGTGGAGAGTCTTCAGGCGAAAATGGCCAGGGCCTGGGAAAAGTGTCGGCCGTTGCTGCGATTTTGTGGACAGGAAATGGACGATCCACTCAGACCATGTGGAATGGTCTCGGTCTCCCCTTCCTGGCACGCACATTTTGCGAATAATTTATTTTCATTGCACTTGAACTTCAATTAGCCAGGAAACAACAGTGGCGCTTGGGGTCTGGGGCCGCAACTTTTTGAGCATCCATTTAATTACCAGCCATAAAAATCATACACCGTATGCGAATATTTCAAAGTCTTTTGGCCAAATTCGTTACGCAATTGGCATTGATTGTTTCGCTTTGTGGAAAACTCTGTTGATTTTATGACCTCGGCTTTATGGAAGGCCCGCTGTGGTTATCTAACCGAATCGCAATCGGAATCCATATCCAACTGCCCGGACGAAAGGAAAATGCAGCAACATTTGCAATCGAAACTGGAAATTTGCAATTTAAGTGGATGGAAAAAAGTTTGCGGCCATTTCTGGCATTTCTTTTGAGCCAAGTTTCCTTGTGGCCCAGGAAGTACCATCTCCCCATGCTCCCCGTTCTCCATACACGCCCCTCTAGACCAGTCAAGTCTTTTATGTGCATTGAACTTGACTTTGCCTTGGGTTTTGGCCAAAGAAAAAGACCAAACTGGTTCTAACTGCCGCCGTTGCAGCTGCAGCCACAAGCAGTTGGTAACACCCATCTCCCAACTCCCACTGCCAATGCCATAGCCAACAATTAGCCCAAGCTGTGCCTTTTGCCTGCTCCGCTCCGATTTCTTCTGGTGTCTCGACTTGGTCTTGGCCCACTCTCCTGCTCGTCTGAGCCACGTTTTTCCGCCTTGTTGCATACAACAAGAGGCGATGCCGTAAGCGCATATTGCAGCCAACAATTATACAAACTTGTGGCCAAACAGCAATTACAGAAGCCATTTAATGAAGCAACCTACTCGACATGGAAGAAAGCGAGAAGGAACAACGAAGTCCAGAGGGAGAAATGGATACATCGATTGGGTGTCCAGGAGCTTACATATATTTCACTTTAAGGAATAACATAATATTAAATCCATTTTCACCAGGAGTTTCATATCTTAGTTAGCCACCAATTTCTAGGTGCTGATTTTGACATTTAAATTATTTAATCGTTTGAAAATCGGAAAAACCCGCAGAAAATGAATTTAAATTTTGAGTATGACCCACAATAAAAGTCAAAAGCCACTCAACTAGGAAACGATCAAATTCCCTTAAACTCAAAAGTAATAAGGCCATAAAAAAAAAACATTAAAATCACTTTACAACTTTATCACCTCGGTGCAGAACAAATGCAATTTGTTTTCATTTAACTGAACAAGTCTTTTATTATTGGTTGTCTTGTAAAATAAACCGTACCAAATGCAACAATAAAAGTAGTTTAAAATTGTCAGCACAATAAATATATATATATTGTTGTCAGTTGTAAAACACAAAAGCCAATGGGAAAAACGTAATTTAATCAAAGTTTAGCTTTCACTGCAAATATTAAAGTTTCAATTCCAAACTAATGTCAAAACAAACGAAAACGAAAACTTTTTAAAACGGAATGCAGATGAACGAAGAAGTCCTGTGAGTGGAGTTGTTCCTTTGCCTCTTAGCGGGTCGTAAAAGAATTGTTAACTAGTTTTCGCAGCTCTTTTAAGGCCATAAAATCCAACTGAGCAAACAGAAACGAACGCAAATAGCAACAATTTTTATCGCTCTTTTCTATTGAATTTTAAAACGAATCCAGCGCATGTTCCAACTGTAATGAAAAGACACTTTTCCGGGGAAGGAAAATAAACCGAAAAGTGTTAAATAGAAAGCACATAAAATTTTATGCAACCCAACTGAGGTTGAGTAAATGTTCTACTCTCTGTGGAAAGACGAGAGTGGGCCGGATGCAGTGGCCAGGTTACTAGGCTCAAAGGGTGGGCGTATGGGGGCGTGGCACATGGTATAAATGGGGGCACAAGGGGCGTGGCTATATGACGCTGCCCGTTGACTGTGCCAACTTCATAAAAATTCACTCAGGCGCAGTTTTAACGGCCGTTAAATGTTTACGCGGTTGCATTTTTTACGACCGTTGACAGTTCATTTGGATTTAGCTCGATGAGCTTAGTTAAAGGACTGCTGGAAAGAGAGATAAGTCCCCTGGGTGCAGTTTTTTTTTTTTTTTTTTTTGGCTTAAAGGCCTTTTAAAACTTACCTAATATACAGCTGACTGGGTGGATTTAATTTATTTCCTGTTGATTCGCCAACATATTTCCACCACTTCTTATCGCAGTCCATCGCGAAATGTAAGTTAATGATACAGCTGGTGGCATTGCATCACAGCCGAACCAATTCGAATACCATAATTGGTCTTACGTAAAACGAGAGTGTAAGAAAAGCAATTGAAATCGAACATCGATGAGTTTAATGGCCATAAAAGCCAAGTTCAACATGTTGACGTGAAAGTGGCGGCGGCCAGGCGAACACCCAACTTCATTTGCGGAGAGCTCGTGCGCAACCCGTTTTATTTGTTGATTTTTTTTTAGAGTCCAAATCCGAGCCGAGAATCGAGCTGAGCCAGAGCCAGAGCCAGGTTCCAGTTGAAGCTGGAGCTGGAGCTGGAGCTCCAGCTTCCGTCCAAATGCGGCTTGGTGGAAAGTGAAAGTGGGCAGACGACCAAAAAGCAGGTGGACGGGTGGACATATACGGATTATTTATGGGTCTGGGCGGCCGCATATATAAACCAAAGTTGGTTCAACCCTCGCAGATGACCATAAATTACTATTTTTCTTGGCTCCATTGAGAAATTATCGCCATAAATGATTTATCGATTTTACTTACATCTGAGCGAATCTTAACCTCAAAATAAATCATTTTTATTTCTATAAATTTCTTTCTTATTTAAGTGCATTGTTTCTTAAAAACAAGCTAGATCGTATTTGACACAACCTAAAAACTTATAAGAAAGCTTAAAATCCAAATTTTTTTTAAAGGGTATGTTTCACGAACTAATTGTACTTTTCCATAATATCTGTGTGCTCCACGGTATTGCTTAAAATACTGAAATCCAATGTTTGACGACATTAAACTAATTATGTAGTCCATATAAATGCAGTTACCTAATTTTTTTGCTGACAAACACTCTAAGTACACCACCGTATTATAAAATAAAGGTCTCCGGCTTATATATATATGTATCATTTTTTTTGGAAATTTTTCCAATCTTTAAGTGCCACAAAAAAATATATCTTTAATGAATTCCATTTTAATTTCTTTTGAAATCTTGTAATTTTTAGTTGGATTATAAGTATATTTAGTTTTATTTTTTAAAGCATTTTTTATTTTTAACTACTACTTATTTTCTCTAATTATAAAAAAGGCATGGCACCCTTTAGCAAGTCTTAAAAAATGTAAGATAACTATTTTTACACATTTCAGATGATGATATCAATAAATTATAAGTTAAACTTAAAAGCACAGCTCGAGGTGGCAATATTTTTATAACTTAATTATTTTTCTTGTTCAGATACTGCTTCTAACTGTGATCTTGACTCTCGGCCAAGCAACGGATACTTGGCATCGTCTGCCCTCTCTGGAAACCTTTTCAACATATGAGGTAAGAATTGAAAGGCCAAACTTAAAAAAGGATCTAAATTTGAACCTAATGATTTTCAGGACATGCAGCGTTACTTCGATCAACGTAATTTCCGCGGCATGAGGCAAATTGATAACCCCACAGGGGACACATATTTGGCTGCCTTTAATCAGTATAACGAACAGCAGGAGGATAAGACTCCGAGGCGGGTGACCCAGTCCCACTCCAGGATAAAACGGGAGCAGCGCCAACTTCCCACCGCCCCGAGAATGCTACGTTTTGAATTGGCAGATGCCGTGGAACCTAGCCCAGAACTTAAGCAAATAATGAGGCAATATCATGCCAGGGCCTTGAAGGAAAATCCCACATCTGTGACTCCTCATAGTACAACTCAGGCACCCTTACCAGCTGTAAGCAGCACCAAGGGCCCAAAGATTAAGTCCCGGAAACCACGTCGTCAGAGAAGATCAGTCATTGGCGCCCAGCAACCAGCGGACTTTAAGGTCCAGATGATTCCCTTTCAAGAAACGGATGCGAGGGAGCCCGATGCCCTGACCGCTCAGCTGATTAAGAGGGGCCGCACCCTGGATCTGCAAAGTCAGGCCACGAGATCTGCTCCAGAGCTCCGCCAGTTAAAGCCCCAAGGGGCTAGAAATCAGCCTTTCCAGGTGCGGATTCGCAAGACGAAGCGCTCCAAACGCTCAGCTCCGCAAATGATCAAGTTTGAGTTGGCGGACGCCAAGCCATTGCCTCAAAGGGTCGGAAAACAGCTGTCATCCGAAGCGGTGCCCACGCTGCTGACCATGGAAGCCCAGCCACGGAACCAAACCCAATCTCCCCAGTTGACCACACCCTCTTCTCGGATGGAGGACAATGACATCCTGACGGGTGAGGCCACGGCGGAAACCAAGCGGATGTATGTTTACAAGGAGTCACCTTTGACCTCTGGACATGTGAAGACCAAGAAATCCCTCAGTGCCCTGCCCCACGAAGTTCAAAAGGTCATCGGCCAGCTGATGAAGGATGGATTGGGTGGCAAGGCGTATGTGAAGTATCTTCCCGCCCAGAAGACCGATTACGAGCACTACAAGACCAAGTCCGTAGCCTATGGGGCCAAGCCTCTGGGCAACTATGTGAAGTACATCAACAAGCCATTGGAGGCATCGGTAGCTCCGGCTCCTGTCCAGGTGCACATCCAACCCGTTCCAGTGGTGGAGCAACTGCGGTATGTCTACAAGCCCGCCTATGTGGCAGCTGCTCCCACAATAGCGCAGCCCATTGTGGTCCAGGAGGCACCAGTGCCCACTGCGGCAGTGGAGGAAGTGCACCACACCTACACCGCCGAGCTGGCACCACCGCCCACCCAGACTCTGGATGTGGTTGTGCCGCAATTCAGGCCCTCCAAGCCAGATCCCCTGCTGGCCGAAGCCCCCGCCATCTATGGCAAGCCCCTGGAGGCCTACAACTACGCAATCCAGCCGGAGGAACCCTCTCCTCTGATCAAGATCGAGTACCATGCCCAGCCGGATGGCATTAAGGAGCACTACAAGCAGCTGCCCGAGTTCCAGCAGCTGTCCACGCTCATTGGCAAGTCACCGGATGACCAGATTCACGGCCTAACCTATCTCCTGGCCAAGGAGATGCAGGCCAAGTTGCAGAGGCAGGGCAAGCAGCTGGTGGATCGGCCGCAGGACAGCACGGCACCGATCCTGTTCCACCCGGCCCAGGCTCCAGCTCCAGTTGCACCCACTCTAAAAACCCTTTTGGACCATGGATCGCTGGGCATCCAGCCGGGTCGCCTGATCGGCATGGCCAAGACTAAGCAGTATGTGCCCATCATCGAGCCGGGCAACAACGATGTCAAGGAGCTGCCGACGGTGGCCTCCAAGGTGCCCACACCCAGTTCCTACATCGACTACACCCACGGACATGGCCTGTCCAACGGATATGAGGGCGTGGCCCAAGTGCATGAGGAGCCGGTGACAACGGTGGAGCACGTGGTGCACCATCCCACGGTGGCCACTCACAGCCAGCACCTCAATCCGCACCAGCTAAACCAAATTCAGCAGCAGCATCATCTCCAGCAGCAGCAGCACCACCACCACGGACTGGTGGCCACTGTCCTGCCGGCGGAACTGGATGCGGACAAGGGCGAGAATGGCCTGCACTTTGCGCACAGCCAGGAGGACAAGTCGGTGAGTGAAGATTGCAGCCTTAAGGGCCTTGGGTTTAATCACCCTTCAAAACTTGGGCTTAGATTGCAGGCGAACTTCTCTAAGTTGTATTGCCACAACCAGAAGTAATTCCATGAGATTTCACCCAAAAAAAACATTATTCAATAATTTCTAGTAACATTTCCATCAGTGGATTAGTTTTAATAGTACCCAAGTTGATAATGAAGATGAAAAGGCAATTTCACAACCATAGTTGTAGAAATAAGTTATAAAATCGGAAATATGAGACACATTTATTCGCATTTTAAAACTTTGAAGCATTGAATTTCCCTCACAAACGCAAATAAAAGCTAAGGCTATAGTTTCATTAAAAACAAGAAAGAAAGCAAACTTCGGCAAGCCGAAGTTCATATACCCTTGCAGCTATTGCATGAATTAAATACTTTTGAAAATATTTAAATTATGATTTACTTGAGTATATGCTGAAAAACATTGAAACTATGATGATTTGCAGCTCAATTATAAGATAGTTATTTTATATATTTTTATTATTTCTATGGGAGCTATATGATATAGACGTCCGATTTTGATAAAATTTAAACCATAATTCTGAAATAATTAAACATTGCTATATGTCGAAGAACTAAACAAAAAATTAAAAAACAGAAAAGTTATAATTTTTTTTCATTTATTTTTCCGATTGTTCCTATGGGAGCTATATGCTATAGTCGTCCGATTTTGATGAAAATTAAAACAAAATTCTGAAATACTTAACCATTACTATATCTCGAAGAACTAAGCAAAAAATTAAAAAACAGCAAAATTATAATTTTTTTTCATTTATTTTTCCGATTGTTCCTATGGGAGCTATATGCTATAGTCGTCCGATCCGGCTCGTTCCGACTTATATACTACCTGCAATAGAAAGACAACTTTTGGGAAAGTTTCATGCAGATAGCTTTAAAACTGAGAGACTAGTTTGCATATAAACGGACGGACAGACGGACAGACGGACAGACGGACAGACGGACATGGCTAGATCGACTCGCCTAGTGATGCTGATCAAGAATATATATACTTTATAGGGTCGGAGATGTCTCCTTCACTGCGTTGCAAACTTCTGGCTGAAATTATAATACCCTCTGCAAGGGTATAAAAATGTACAAATGTACAAAATGTACAAATTTGTAGGTAAATAAGCTTAAATGGTAGAATATATATGACTGAACGCCTGCCTTCGTTGTTTTCTTTAATAATATATATATTTTTTTTAAACCAAACAAAATCGAAAAGTTTTCTCAAATCTGTTATGCTTATGCCAAAGCATTTGAATAGCAAAATATGTTAATATCGTAAAGTGGCGGTTGGACTTGTGGAAGTTTCACTGTGAATCCGGGGAGTTAGGCCCCCCCCAAATGCATTAAATTAAGGCATACCTTGGGGCGCTCAACAAAAGGCTTAGCGCTCTCCCGAAAGCGTGCCCCATTGATTGGCATAGGCAAAAACACAATCAGCATAAATAAGACGAGCTGGGGCGGCCACAGACAAACAAACACGGTGCCAGACGGATAGACACTCCACTGCACGACACTGCGGCAGTCACAACAATGGAATTCCCTGCAGCAGGGACCTTCACTTCCACACCAACATCCTCATCCTCATTCTCATCCACATCCACTTTCACAACCCTGCTACCTGCTCCACTGTGCATCCTTTTAAGGCCACCTTACCCCCGAGTAACCGCTCTGTGTGCAATTCAGTTTGATTGCCGATCCATGTCTCGCCGGTAATGCACTTAATCGAATAATTTTCAAGTTCGACAAGCATTTTCAATGTCGTTAGCCAGTGTTCCCCCCCATTTCTCCTTCAATCCATCGTCTACTACCTGGCAACACAGCCACAAAAGCAATGCAAACGACTTCGTCTTTCATTACTATATAGTACTAACCATTCGACTGCAGCTTGCCAATACACTTGGGAAAAATACTGAAATATATCAGTTCATTTATAAATTTATAAATATTAATTAAATATTTTCAATTATCATTTCACCTGATACAACTTACAATATTTTATTTAAATATAAATTTCAAATAAATATAAAAATAAATAAATTTAATTTGATATTTGTCCAAAAACCAAATAAGTTAAACTCATTAAAATCAACTATTTAATTTTTATTGATTTATATTGATCAAGATCGAATTTTACATCATAAAATGTAACTCATTAATTGAAACCCGTACTCGTTTCTAAGTGTATGTGTACCGGCCCGACATTTTGGGGCGCTGTCTGGACCAATTGATATAGATATATGGCAGCTGATACGGTATATATTCATTTGGCCAACCTCAAGCACTTGAAGCGTGTGCCAGGGAAATGCACTCCACTCTACATGCGTCTCGGAATTAACATTTTTCTTTCACTGGCGGAAAAACTTTCGCGCAGCTTGGGGTTTCCTGAATTTAATTTATCTGTATTTCTTTGGCGAACCAGAAGGTAAAGTCCCGGGCAATGGAGCGTCTTTGTGCGCAGCCAGGCAAAAGGCCACGAAAAGTGTCTTGGAAATGCGAAATGAGCAGAGAGTGTGTGCACAGCCACCAGACACACCTGAGTTGGGGGAATGAAAGGAAAGTACAGCAGGTGCGGGTAACCCCGCAAAATAGCGAGTTTAAGGACACCAAAGACATCGATACGTACATATTTGTATTAAAAGCGCACTTAAAAGGAACGAGCGGTGTAATCAATTTAAAGAAGAAATTTGGGTTTTAATTTTTTGACTTTTGATGATATTTTAAGTCGAAATAAGTTTGATATAAAACTCCCAAGTCGAAATACCGCTGCTACCAGATTATCAATAGAAATTTTGTATTTTACCAAATTTAATTTATTTAATTTATAAATATTTAATTTTGAAAGTGGTCAACCCGACAACGGCGTCTTTAGAAATGAAAATTTTTTTTTTATTTATTTTTGTTTTGTATTCTTAAAATGTCATACATTTCATTTCATTTTTATATTGAAAAACCCATCAAATTCAGACTTCTAGCCAAGAATACCCCCTTAATACTACTATGCTAAGATCCCCCTAAAAAAATTATCCACAACTTGACGCCGAAAAGTTTGATTTACTTGGAAAATATCAAAACAATATATAACACTTGGTCGCACATTGCGTCGGCCAGTCGTCCAGCACTGATCACCACACTAGTCCACCAGCCTCACTTCATTTCGGGACAGGCCATTTGGTAGACGAACTGCACGAGGGTGCGGGTGGGGCGTCCGGTCATGCGCTTTTTGGTGAGGTAGGGCACCAGACCGTACTTGGTAAGCAGTCCGGTGCCGCGGGTGTCCAGATGCGCCCAGTCCACGCAGGGCACCAGTTCGTGGAGGATGGCGGCCGCCAGGCAGGAGCTGGCCAGTCCCCGTCCGTTGTTGCTCAGATCGTAGGACCGCTCGTCGGTGACCTGCTTCTTGTAGTACTGCCACAGGGGCAGGCGCCACACGCGGTCCCCGGAGATGGAGCCGGCCCGCTGGAACTGCTTCCAGATGTAGTGCGAGTTGGACCAAATGCCGGTGGCGCCACCGCCGAAGGCCTTCTTCACGCCAGTGTTCAGGGTGGCTATGTCCACAACCAGGCGCGGCAGATAGGTCTTCTGGCCATAGAGCAGCGAATCGGCGAGCACCACCACGCCGGCCTTGTCCAGATCCCGCACAGCCATCGACTTGCCATTGAGCAGTGTGACCACGTCGCCGGGCTTGGCGCTCATGCCCGAGGGCATGTTCTCGCACAGCGGGATGATGCACGTAACGTTGATGGGCAGCGACAGGGCGGCGATGCAGCGCATCATGGCCACACAACAGGCGCCCGCCGACATGCTGCCACGGTACTCGTCCATGCCCTTGCAGGGTCGCAGGTTGAGGGCGCCCGAGTTGAAGGTGATGCCCTTGCCCACGAACAGGATGGGCTTGTCGTCGGGTGCCGCGCCGCAGTAGCTCAGCTCGAGGAGCACGGGCGGCTCACAGCTACCCTTGGCGATCATCAGGAAGGCGTTCAGCCGCTGGGCCTCGATCCAGTCCATGGTGCGTACCTCCACGGTGATGCCACAGGGACACAGGGCGTCCACAGCGGCCTGGGCAAACATGGTGGGCGTCATGCAGTTGGCCGGAGCATCGCTCAGACGCCTCGCCAGATTCTGGGCCTCCGCCTTGAAGATGCCACGCGTCCAGCCCTCGTGGTCCGGGGATTCGAAGAGCTCCAGCGTTGGCACATTTGGCATGTTCTTCTTGGACAGATTGTCCGGGTAACGCCACACAGCCAGTTGAGAACCCTCGGCCGCTTGCTCCGCATAGTCCATGCCGTCGACCAGCACATTGGTGATGCCCTGCTGCTGCAGCGAACGGGCGCCCACGCCGGCGGCCACTCGCACGAACTCCATGCCCTCGTCCAGCATCTCCAGTTCGTTGAAGCCGATACCCTCCAGGCCCACGCCCACAACGGCCACGGCAGCGAACTCCGTGTCGATGTTGTGGAACACCTTGCCGCGACCCAGACGGCCATCCAATTTGGTCTCGCAGATGGCCTTCATCAGCTTGCCGTGCACCCGCTGATCGATCTTCTGGCCCGCCGGCGTCAGTTTGGGGTCCTTGTCGCCCTCCTTCTGGTACAGGCCGACGACCACGCCCCTCGTTAACGCCCTGCCCTCGCCGCAGGAGAATCGCACTCCGGCGCTGGACAGGATTCGCGGCTTGCACAGGCCACTCGCGACTTTCAACGAACATTGGAACTGACGAAGCTTGTTCATGGTGACTTTGGCTTTGCTTTAATTGACTATATGGATATTATGATACTCCGAAAATCGGTTTAGGGTTTCCAAAAATCCCCTCCAACGAACGCTACTAATACTACGAATTTGGGCGATTAAAAAGTCCGTCTGGTTCCACACTCAAATTTTTTCAGGAAAACCGGGAAAATATGTTTAGAAAACAGAACAAAACTAACTCGGAAAGCAAAAACGGAAAATTTTTTCTGGGGACTTTTAAAACGAACGATCTGTTCTCTACCGGCGTACGAATTAAAATGATTCTGAGCATATTGAGGCCTCAGAGCTGGGAAGGCACCTGTCATACGGATTCCAAGGAGAACTTGATCCCAAATTTTTATATATTTATTTTTATAAAGTTGCTGAAAAGTACATTTAATCAAATTACCAAATTAACTAAGGAAAGAGAATTTTTACAAAGAAAAATGGTCTATTATTTTTATCATTAACAGTAATAAAAATTTAGGAACAAATTTATATTATTACATATATACACTGATTAAAAAAATAGAAAAGTAAAAATAAATACATTACTATTGGATTGCAATTTTTTTTAAATTATAATATTAAGTACAATTGCATATAAAATTACATGAATTAATATTACAAATTTCAATAAATGTGGAAAATATTAATTTTTAAGTAGTTCCTATTTTTTTAAATAACATTTTCAGATATTTAAATCACATAAAAAAAACTAAAAACTAAAAAATTCAAAAATATTTTAATATTTTCATATTCAAAATATCTAATAGCCGCAATGGATGAAAATCAAAGGGAAAGTATTTTAATAAAATACACGATATTTTGATTTACCACGTTTCTTTTAACAGTGTACTAAGGTCAACATTTTTATTAAAGTCTTCAAAATGACATGAGTTAAAAATGTAAACATAAACCATTATTTTTCCGAAATTCTTAGTGATTACATAATTGACCTAACATTTTGAATAGATATACATAGATATCTTAAAGGAATGGAAACAAATTTATACTTATTCATATTTTTTATTATTAATCATATTTTTGTAAATCTAATAAGGCAATAACAAGCCATTTGCAAGTGTTGAAAAAACCCAAAGTATATATAATAGTGCCATTGAAAAGCTTTTCGTCTAAGTAGAGAGTTGACGTGCAGTATACAAAATGCAATTGCCACAAAGAGGCCAAAAGGACCACTTTCCAAGCAAGTCGACAACAACTTCCCTCTCCTTAACTCCATTCAGTCGCTGCCAATCTACTTAAAATTGTTTTCGAGCTGAATTTTATTTTGCAGCGGGCAGCACTTTTATTTGACTCTCAATCGACAGAGTCGGAGGGTGCAAAAGCTGATTACATTTTATTTATTGGCATTGCCAAATTGCAATGGGGATATCTTGCATCTCTCGGCTCTCGACTTTGGCGTTAATGCGTATTAAGCCGGGTTGGCCAAGGCATCTCCATGCAGCTCCAATAAACAAGGAGTCAAAACTGGCCGAGAACTGGGCAACTGGGAAACTGGGAAACTGGTGCTGAAACACACATTGTTTTACTGCCGTTTAGCATGATTTTTAATAGGCTTTTGCCTTGTTCCTGTACGAGTTGTCATCGTACTAAGCCCCATTGCCCGGTCTGGTTGTTAAACCCCAAAAACGCCGCCTGATGGTCATGATGGGCTAGCAAAGGGATGCCCAGACATTGTCCTGCTCCTGCTACTCCTTCTGCTACTGCTCCTGGTTTTCGTCCGTCCAATACGTCCAATCCGTCCGTATCTGACAGGCAAACGACACTTGTTAGGCTCAAGTTTGGGTGGAGTTTAGGCCGCTCTGGGGCGGATTGGCCAAAAGGGGTGGGAGGGAGGAGGTGGCCGTGCCAACATGCCGTTGCAATGCTCGTCATGGGACTTGTTTGACGGCATCTGCTGCTCCTTCTAACGTGTGCGAACATGGTCAGATTTTTCGGGCATTTGTCATTTTATTGTGGTCGAAATGGTCGGTAATGGTCGTCACTCAGTCTTTCAAGCCCTTTACAGGGCAACTTCCAAAGGACGAGCTTTGGGTTTTACCATTTAGCACAAAGTAAAAACGTTCAATACTACGAAGAGTGTCAACCTGATACTAGCTGTCTATTTTTTCAACAAAAAATCAATTTATTTAAATTTAAAAATCCAGCATTAAGAATTTAAATTTTTAATTGATTTATTTTCTTACCCTAACTGTAAGCATAAAGCAAGCTTTAATTAATGTAAACTCATATGAAAGATTAATATGACTTTACTAACAAATAGTTAAATTGGCTTAAATTGCCCGATGTCTTTGTTTTGGGATAAACTGAACACAGACTTTGCTTCGAAATACTCTCCTCAACCAGTACAAGTAACCAAAATTTTGGCAAACCTAATTAAATTAAAACAAAGCAGTCACAGGATGAAACAAACCAGTAAATCAAATTAGGAATGAAATATTGACAGAAGCCTTTGAAGAAAATTTGATAAATTAAGGGTGTAAATTAACAATTAATGTATATTAATGGATGTCATGTTTGATTTGTATCATTTTAAAAAGTTTCATGATCTTTTTAATAAGTATGCTATACATAGCCTTCATTCTATACATAGCCTTTATTACCTCTTCATTAAAATGCCGTTTAATGCCATGCGGTCGACTGCAATTTTTATCATTATCGTGTTAAGTGTTAAAAATAAAAAAAATAAAAAAAAAAAAAATTTAAGTATGTAAACTATACAAAAAATTTAATTATATAAGGTATTAGCTATTCAAGCTCTACTGTAGAATGTTTGCGTTTGTTCGTGTGCTCGCTTGCCATCTGCAGGTGCAATATTTTCTAGCTCCCACTCACATATTTTAATTTCATTTTTATTTCAACCCCTTTGCTGTTGCTTGTTTTCTTTGGCCTTCTTCTTTTTGTTGCCAAATGTGGGGGCACAACATATTTTTGCAAGTGTTGAAAGAAGGATGCCTGGGATTTAAGTTTTATTTAATGGAGCCCTGCACAACATATGTTTTTGGGGATTATAAGTTCGGTTCAAGCATTGCGAATCACTCGACAAAAGGGTTTTCCACACAGCAAAAGGTTGGCTCCCAAGAAATCCCCTTGGCATGTGTTTCTAATGTGCTCCGAGTGCCTTTGTCCTGCAATTGATGGGTTTCCAGTGTGCTTTCCTTTTTAAGAAATTTGCAACTGAAAGAACCTTAAACAAGGCATCCAAAATTGGTGTCGATTTCCCCCAGCCTGCCTCAGCACATCTGACCCGATGGTTGACTTTAAATTAGCTTCACTTCATCCGCTACCCATAATAAACCACAGCCACCCGACTGCAACTACAGGGATGGCTAATATTCCGGCCCTCCCAGAAAGGGAAAAACTATATGTAGCCCATGTAGCTCCATGCCATTGCTCCTGCTATTCCTACTCCTATTCCTATTCCTATTCCTATTCCAATGATGTTTGCAACGTATTGACAGTCACATTCGCATAAAAATCACGTAGTTTGACATTTTTCTTGCTGCTCTGCCATTTCGTTAGATGGTTTTCTTTTTTTTTTTTTTTTTTTTTGTCAGCTGCCGCTCCTGCAGGTCCGATGTGGAGGAGCAGGAGTTCCAGGAGCAGCAGCTGTCACGCAATCAGTCCGAGCGCAGAGCCAACAAACTGATAACTCAATTTTGGTTAGAGACGCCTCCCCCGCCCCCTGGCTGGAAAAATGAAAATTGCTAACAAGCGAGCCATAAAAACTGTGGCCAGCGGTGGTGGTTGCATTTAAAATTTTTCACCATTTTCCGGCACTCTCCTGAAAATTATACAACAATTTTCGCAAAAAGGTCCGCCGGTCCGTCTAATCATCGCCCAGTGCTCTTTTCGGATCTGAAGCTGGAGCTGTAGCTGTAGGGGTCATAATTGCGTGGCCCAAAAGTTTCGTTGGAAGGCGGTGGCAATTGTGTCAATGGCTGCCGTGTGGCATCAACGAGCCCAGGACATCCATTTGCCTGACGAACGCTGTTGAACACGTTCCACTTGATGGGGCTTTTCACACTCCCACTCCACCGCAAAGTGGAGCGCCCAGCTCACCATTCAGATATCCACACCCACAAGCACATGGCAATGGAGCAGCTCCGAACGCATTACATTGTAAAATTGGTTTTTGTAAATTGTTTGGACACAACATTTATTTCCATTTAAATGCGATTTGGCCCGACTCGGTTGCTGACCATCCTCGGTTCCAACTCTTGTTCAATTTTAAATGAGCATGCAGCTGCAACTGCCACTGCCACTGCCACTGCCGCTGCCACTGCCACTGCCACATGCCACATTCCTGCCCCCAACACCCAATCCTTCCTCCTGGCCAGGAATCTCTGCCTCTGCCTGTGTCCCTTGAGGTTTTCGAGCTTCAGTACGAGGTGTTTGCAGCGCTTAAACGAATTGTGTGAATAATAAACGCAACACACTGGGGGCACAACCATCGGAAGGGGATTCTGGGCGACTTTAGTTACCCAACAAGGATTAGTGTTATGGCACTGAGGGGGGGTCGGGGAACGGAGTTCGGAATCCTTTCCGGCTGAGTGCAAATCATGAGCTAATTGAAGAGGGTAGCTAACGCAACGATTTGAATGGCTAAGAACGAGATTAAGTGGGGTCTCACCAGACTGGAGTCATGTGGAAATTTAATACCATAAAATCTAATGCTGTCTGCTATCCAATTTAATTTCTTGTAATTTATCTTACTGATTGGTGTTCCTAATATATGCAAAACAGATTCTATTAGGCAGTTGGTATACCATTCTTTACTTTTGTATCATTTAAATTATATTTATTTATTCAACCTTTATTAAAATAAATATAATTTAATTTTTTTTCTACACAATCCTTTGAAGTTAAAGAGACAATTATTTTAAATATCTTAAAAATAATTAGTTGTTAATGATAGAAATGAAAATTTTCAATAACTGGTAAAAAAATTAGTAAGCCCAAATATTTTTTATTCAATTTTTATATATTCCCTTTAATTTTTATCCATTGCGGTTTTTAGTTATTTTAAATATGAAAATATTACAAAATTGTTTCATTTTTTATTTGACTATTTTCGGATTTTATTTAAGTATACGAAAATTTAATTAATATGTAAACCATATTTAAATTAAATAAAATGCATTTATATCAAATAGGAGCAACAATTTTGAATCTAATAATATTCACATTAATTTAAATTTTCAATATTATGATTTCATATTTAATTTACAATTTTAGATTCAATAGTCAGATATTTCTCTTTACTATTCCGTTTTTATATCAATATATCAAGTTAACAAGCTACAGTTGTCAGTCGTTTGTGTTATTATTTTTTTAAACTTTTATTCGCTTACGTTTTATATTGATGGTCTCAGCTATTGTTATTTTTTATTGACAGCCCCAGGGGCTTAATAATTGTCAGTGGTTGGTCAACTTTTCTTGATGTTCCAACCGCAAAAACCTGACAGGCAAACAACAAATCGAATTAAGTGGAAAATCACAATGAAATCCAGTCGCACAATGATTTGGGCCACACCCACGGATAATGAACATCCTGGCCCCTCCGGCCGCAAGGGTTAACCACAAGGACAGCGATGGGTGGTTGGGTGGTGGGCTGGTGGGATGGTGGGGCTAAGGTTAAGGCCAGGCCAATGCCGCTGGGCAAACAAAAGGCAAAAACATTTTAATGAGCGCAGATGAAATGACAAAGCCACGGGGTTTTCGGGGAAAAAAGGCGGGGACAGGGCCAGGCAGTAACAATGCTGATTACATGCAAATTAAAAGAAATAAAAGTCAGCCAACGCCTTGGATGTCCGATGTCAAAGCATTCTCATTTTGGCCAAAAGGAAGTGGGTGGCGGCGGCTCGGAAGTGCGCATTAAGTTACCAGCGGAGCCGGGGCGATGGCTTATTGCTTTTCGCCATGAAAGAAAGTTGGAGCTGCTCGGCATGTCAATTTGGACATACTTTGGCCATCTGATCGCTCACTCGCAACTAAACGAACTCACGTAGTTTGGGCTGCAATTGCATTTTGCACTCGACTCGCTGCACAATTCGCTAAAAGCCAGCGCCAACAGAGACGTGTTAAATGCAAAAAAGTGTCCGTGGAATTCAGCAATAAACTTGGCTCGCAGAGGCACTTTTGTCATATTTGGCCAGCCATCTATCTATTTATCCATCCCATCCTTGGCAATCTCATGGCGACGGGGCGCAAAAAATTGGCCACGTCATCGGGAAAAGGGTCCAGTTCAATATGGCACGTGATCTGATTCGGATTCCACTTCGCTGGGCCCAACATTTTTTCCAGACAAACATTCGGACTCACCCCCCACCCGACATGTTTCATCTGCAATGTAATTATGTTCAATGTAATGAAACCAACTGGTAGTGAAATTCCAAACTGCAGAGCCGTGCAGTACAATGTTAAATCTTGTCTGGACTCTAGCCACAAATTTGCATACTCATCCGCTGTTGCGGTTTATTTTCACTTATTTTCACTTATTTTTTCCTCCAGACACATAGAAATCTATTAACATTTTTGCCGTGCTTCTAATGAAGCCCTTACCAGCACAGAAATACTTTTTTGCATTTCATTAGGAGATGAAGGAGATTGCAAATGTTGGCAAATTGCTGGAGCAGAGAATTTATTAATTATGTTTAACGCGTTGGCGGTAAAAAGTTGAAAACGAAGAGGGCAGACTGCAATCAAATCGAGTCCTTTCTTGAGGGGAAAACTCCGTAGAACAAATGTCAATCAGGCTTGCAATCAAAGGAAAACACTTCTGCTAGGTCTATACATTTTCTAAAGCCACGAGAAACTTTTGTTCTGTCACACGAAATAACATTTCCCCTTCGTAAGTTAAATCTAGTCAACAATGTAACTTAATTAAACTTAATTTACAACTCATTAACATATCAAAAAGTTTGCCACGCCCCCTTCTCAGCGCACAAATCTTATGGCCTGGCCATAAAAACCGCAGAGGCAGCCCAAAACATGTAGCGAAAGTTGCCAGCAATTGTCGTTGTCGTCGGGATCCCGAAAACATTTGAATGAGCGGAAACGGAAACGCACACTCACACCCGCGAACACACATCCACTTGCATATTTTATTCTATTTTCATCTGGCTGAAATGCGAAGTACTTACAAATAAAAGGCAAAGCCAAAATTGTTCAGGAAACAGCAAAACGACAGCCATGCTGCATACAGAATGCCACAGATTTTGAGGGGATTCAGATTCGGATTCAGATTCAGATTCGGATTCGATCGGGGACTCGGGGACTGGTCTCGTATATTGTTGCAAATTTCATTACGATACAATTTACAATCGCATGCATAACAAACCGAGCCGTGCGAGTGACAGACAACCTCATGTCCCCCACTCCCACTCAAAACCCCCCATCCCAATCCCAATCCCAATTCTCACCACCTCCAGCCGCCCCCGAAATCGGCTAAGACCCAATTCTGCTTTTGCACTCAATTGGGATATACCCTTGCTATCCTTTCAGCCTTTGCATTACCACAATTGGATTGCATTTCCGAAAAGTATCTTAATAAAGTAATCCTTTTTGACACTCTACATGTTACTTGAAAAGTAATTAAATTATATAATTTACATTTTGATTTTCCCATGTCGTTTGTACTTAATGCCTGAGAAAATTCCTAAAATTAAAGCTCCAAATTAAACTTCGTCCCTTGTTACTTAAATCTATAATTAAAGCCTTCGCGATACAGAGCGATGCTGTTGAATATAATTTCTATCAACATTTTATTTAATTGTGTTAAATTTCAAGTCGATAGGATAAATGCTTTCAGGAAACTAGGCCTTGGAAGGCTCCTTCTCAAATAAATTACGACTTAAACACTCACTTAAAATGTATTAAACCAATTTTATTCTTATTTCTTTTCATTTCACAAGTTCAATTTAAGATAATACTATATCTGTAATAGAGTATACTAAAATTGGGTTACAAAAAAAATTATTGAAAATATATATTAATAAAATGTTAAACAAGCAATTGCTTTCGGCATGAGAAACCATTGTAACCCCTTTATAAAGTGTGCACAATCTTGTAATCACGAAATGTTCTTATATATTCGCTTTTTTTTTAAGTAACAATTGTCACAGCGCGTCTTCCAGTTGTCGCTTTCAGTCTTCACTGTACATGACAGTGTGCTTAATGCATTTTGCATTTTGCATCGCATACTTTTTAGCATGCGCACGAATTCGCCACTGCAGCAGTGTTGAATGTGCATATGGGCGGGACTGGTGGCAGTCACTCCCTTTTGGTGAATGCGAATGCAACTTATCGGTTTACTGAACAATCTACGCAAATACATAACTAACTTATTTCCCGCCCCGCCCCCCATGTCCCTTTGTGCTTTCGTTGCAGCTGCAGCAGTACGCCTCAAAGTATGCGTTCGGTTATCGCATACGTGATTTCCATACCGGCAACGATTTTGGCCACAAGCAGAATCGTGATCTGCACGGAGTGACACGCGGCCAGTACCATATCCTCTTGCCGGACGGAAGGATCCAGAATGTAATCTACCACGCCGACGATACGGGCTTCCATGCGGACGTCAGCTTCGAAAGCGGCGCGAAACATTGAATCTGGTCTACACCAAGCGGCCTAATGTGCAATCTAGGTTAAGTTAGCCATAAGATCTTCTACCTTAACAAAGGAAGTACCCATGTCAGTTAATTGAAGACTCTTTATCGATAAAACGAGCCTTTTTCATTGACTCATTGACAAGGTTTTAAATTGGCTTATTGTTTTCGCACGCTATGCGAAAGAATTAAGTAGCCAAAATAAGCCAAGGAAAAAAATTTCAACATTTAAAGTCTCTTATTTTAATAGAAACAAACAGATCCGAATTAATACAGATAAAAACAATTTTAATAACCATAACTCAATTCAATTATATTTATACCTGGTTTAGGAACAAAAAAAAGGTGCAAAATTAGTTTAAATCAAAAATGTTTTTAAGCATACGTGTTTCTGTGTCTAAGATAAATTTGTTACTAAAAAAAATAATCTAAAAATGTATGTCTCCAATATTGTCATTTTTTAATAGAATGTAATATGTTGACTCTTTTTAAGGTAGAGTTATCTCACACCAAAAATGCAAGCATTAAATTTTCGCGCATTTAAGCATAGACTATTGCATTCAAAGTATGATAACAAAAAACACCATTTACAATTAAATATTCAAAATTCCACACAGAACACACGCCTCGAAATGGTCATTCATTGTTTTATTGTTCAACTAAATACCAAATAATGACATTACGATTGTTCTATTCTTGTGCAAATGCTATCATAGATGTTAAGTGATTTCCATCTCATTTATATTTACTTGAGCACTGCTCAAATTAGTTTAAGCTCATGAAAAATGTATTTTAAATTAAGAAGCCAGTGCAATAATGCAGGCAAACAATGCCAACCAATGTGTTTAATCGATGTGCAATAAAGTGAAATCAATAAATTAATGACAACATGCGTGAACGGAGGTCTCTGACAAATTGAGCAGCTTTCAGCAAGGCAACTGCGAAATGCCTGACGGAATCGATTCGAGGCAAACCTTCGAATATTGAATTGGCAGATGCGCTCTGCTTCGTTCGCCTTTTCTTCCATAATTGACTTTTAAATGTTCGTTATTGTGCGTTTAACGCACAACCTGAGCAATTATTCAAGCCTTGCCAGTGACCTTTCGCTTCCGCTTGGCCTTTTATGGTTTTGGCTTTTGTTTCCCACACTCAGAATAATATTTTAGATTAATTAAATTTAGCAATGCGGCCTTGAGTTTGCTAAGAAAGTCTTTGTTAAAGGTATATTAAAACATTTACACCAATCGATTAACCAAGATTCCAGTTTTATCTCACAATTTTAACTACCATTTTTATAAGCTAGCTGTGTTTTTAAAAAAGCTTAAGCTATTTAATGAGGATATTTGTTCCTTCGCTTTTATTTTGTCAATTAAAATTTTGAACATTTAGTTGAACTTGTATTTTTATGAACATTTATTACGTTCTTTATTAAATTTACTTTTATTTAGCCTTTACAACACTTAATTATAGGTTTGTCAGATTTTTATCTTCATCAGAATTTATTTCGTATTTTTTATTGCCCTTTTTTATAAATAAATGACTGCTTGAGAAAAAAACTGTTTCAAGCAAAGGTGAGCACCACCATTAGAGTAAATTAATTCCAGTCTTTATAAGTTAATGGTAGACAATTAGTTTTTTTTTCTAAGTGCAGTCACCTTTGCGGTACGAGTACTAACCAATTTTGATCCGCTCGCCGTCTTGTTTGGCTTTAATTAAAATTGTAGCAAAATTTCTTCTTGCGATCTTCGCCCATCCATTAACCATTTATCATCCGCCGAAGGTCAAGGTGTTTCTGCTGGGTGCTCTCAGCAATTTGTATTGCTTGTACTCCAAAAATTGTAGTTTAATTAATTTGCCTGCTTGGAAAATCGATCGATCGCAATGGCTTTTATGCCCCATCATCAACATCATCATCATCGCCGTGACGTACTTGGCCCGAGAGTCCGGGCCAATGGCTTCCAGTTTCGATGTCATCGCAGATACAGAAATATGTATGAAAAACATAAAAAACAAAAACAAAAACAAAACACAGATCGAGAATCGGAATCACATGTGGCTCTGCTACCATTTAAAGTTCAATGTTGCCAACAATTGTAGAAACAAATTTCAGTCTCGCTTACTTCTGTTGTTGGCTTGTTTCTGTCTTTGGCCAATTTGTTTGCCACTTTCCGACTCCGCACCTTTAAATTGCTTTTGGCATTATTCTTTGTATTTGTTCTGCTGACTTTGGCTTTGCATTTTTGAGTTTCATATATTTTTGTTTTTAAGGTTCCTCGGTTTTTCATGACGAACTCATGCAGAGCTCATTAACTAATTTAAGTGGCTGGCCCAGACAGTCAAGCAGATAAGTCTTCACATGGAACGGAAAAGCTTAAAATATTTATGGTTTCATCGGAAAAATTTCAGTTGCTCATTCTTCTTCCTTCTGCTGAATAATTTATTAAGCTTTGGAAAAATACCCGCAAAAGAATTTCAAATTATATCTCTTGGAGAGGAGTGGCAATACATTGCATTCACCAGTTTTTTGGTTGCCACTGTTTGGTACATGATCTTTTTATGTTTTTAATTTTCAATAGTTTAATTGTTTTGACATTAAAATGTATGAAAATGATTTATTTCGGCTTTCAAAACTGTACGTTCTCCTTCTTGGCTATTATGGCTTGAATGGCCTGCCGAAGTTGGTACCCGTATCTCACCAACTTGATTGACATTAATTGCCAACGCGACCGGGCCAAGAGATGCACACGTCACTCATATCGCTGCACTTCTTATGAGTTTTATGAGCAATTTTTTTGTAAGGTTTCTGGTTTTTTTCTCTGGGTAATTAAGCAATTCTTGAGTTAATTAAAACAAAAGTATGAAAGAATGCACAATTTTGACAAGATTTATGTGGGCTGACCTCAAAAGTTGTGGTATGAATTCTGTGGGGCAATCCATGAGAACCAAGTGCATTATAATTATGGTATTATATATAAATCAGCGCATTAGGCGTGGCCACAAAAAAAAAGAAGAAAAATTATATTCCACGCCCTCGCAACTCGAAAACCCTGAGACCAAGCCCATTCTCAGGCTGCATGTGAAGGCCCCCAAAAAAAAAAAAAAGATGCCGAAGGAGCAGCGAAGTTGAAGTTTTCGGCGACGATAATAAAATCCCATTTAAGTTTGACGATAAGTTTTGACCATTAGTCGCTTGCCAGCGGCTGTGAGGGGGCTGTCATTGGAAGTTAAATGCCTTAGATTTACCCTCCCATCTTGGTTATTTTTTCGTCGCCAACAAGTTATGGAGCCAACTTCGGTGGGCTCACATTGCAATTGATAAGCAACTTAGGGGCGTGGCTAATGCCCTGCCAGAACTTGGCCAAAATGCTGTTGCCCACTGTATTTGATATATAAATTCGGTGGAATTTATCTGCAGCTGATCAAAACGTGTGGAATTTTGGCAGCGAGAATTTGGCAGAGCTTTTTGGAGAATTTCCTTAATTTGAGGGTGTGAGGCATCTGATTTAGTTTGCGGCTTTCCTTAATTTGATGTCGTTAATTTCAGTGTTATTCAGGGAAATTATCCATGGAAAAGTGGTTTAGTTACCAATGAAGAAGATTTTAGATGGAATCTTATATTAATCCAAGGTGATTTAATGATTAAAGACCAGTTTAAAAATTAAAACTTGGCTTAAGTAATTTAATGTTATACAAAAGATTAAGTTTAACTTAAAACATTTAAAATTAATAATTATGCCTTAACTTTCTTTAGTTTTTTGTAATTTTCACAATTTTTAATTTAATTCGAAAGGTCTTAGTAAAAGTAAACACATTTTGGCTTTTTTAATGGCTAAGATGATTGTATATACTATTTGAAAAAGCAAAATACTTTAAATGTAATTTATAGTGAATTGAACCAGTTGATAAACTTGATTCAGAGCGCATTTAATTGACTACAGGTTAATACCCGTCTGCATTGGACGTGTGTCTCAATCAGATTTGTCCTTTGTCCCTCGTTTCCGCTTTACTTGTTCGCCGTCTGTTGCAGTCGGTTATTTGCCGGATGGACTACAACAGGTGCCACCCACAGAGAGCCGGAGTGAATCCGGGTACCCGGGCATCTGTATCTGTGCTTTTGTATCCGTGCTTCAGAGAAAACACGTAAACAAGTCAGCGCTGGGTTACGGCTCAATCGCTCAAGATCCTGAGATGAATCCTGGAGGGTAACGAGAGCTGAGGGATTTTTTCTTTAGCTGGCTAAATAAAAATTAACAAGGATAAATGATGCGAGCAGGCAGGAGATGTCAGGGAATGCGGGTAATTGACTAGCTGCCAGAGTTGCCATCCTCCACTATTTTGCAGTGTTTTTGCGTGGGTGGGTGTAAATTGATTAAATGCAAAATTGGAATATGCAAATGCACCCACACACACTGCGAATGGGCGTGGCCGAAGGGCGTGTAGAGTGGTCTGAGATGTGATTTATGTTAGGTGCAAAGTTTTCCACAACTTTTTCCTCCACTTGGCCTGCCTCGAATTCATTCTTCTTTCTTATTATTTTTTTTTTTTTTTGGGTGCAATGAACGCAAGTGCAGAAGATGACGATGACAATGAGGATGCACAAGTTGGGGAAGGTGTGAACGCAGAAAAAATTCGCTTAATTTGTCTAAAGAAAAGCCAAGAGCATGAAAATTTCCATTAAGAAAAATGGTGGCAAGTGTGGCAAGTGACAGGGAAAGCTCGACTTTAGCCCGAAGATTGTTGCAGCAGCGCTGGAAAAACTTATCACAGTTGCTGGCTGGAATAATGAGAGCAATCAACAGGAAACTCCGGCAAAGAGATCAAATCAAATCAGAAGGAAGGAGATGGCCGTAATGAAAGCAATCAAAGGAGCCTTTAGCAACTTTAAATGATCATTATCCTATAAGTTTTTAATGAGAATAGCTGGGCATCGTGATTCCTTAGAACTGAAAACCTCAAGAAAAGAACAACAAAATTGAGTTTACAAAATGTGTTAGTGGTCTTTATGAAACTAAACTCGATTCGAATCTCCAAAATTCGATATGTGATCTTGCAAGATGTCTTAAAATAAGCAAATTATTAAGAAATCCCATTTATTATTAAAAATTTTTCTAATTCATTTTATATTCTTAGTTTGAACATGAAAAGATTTTATAAGTGTTATTTTAGATATTATCTATAAATTATAATTTAATTTCGAACATTACCCTAATTATTTTCTGTAGAGCAGATATGATCATGTGAAAATGCCAAGCAAATCGAACGACATTTGATGCGCCTTCACCTAGAGACTATCGGAAACTCCATTTATTCCATCAAATGTCCAAGACATTTAGTCTATAAATAGCAAATGGTAAAAACGCGCCTCTGCGCCGAAAAAAATGCAAATCATTCGTCTGGACTTATAACAAAAATAAAACAAAGATCGCCGCGACTTCGACCACTTCTCACACCAAATTCAGAGGGCCACAGCGGCAACAACAGTTGAAAACACAGCAGCAACATTAAGCCACCACAGCAACAACAGAAGCTACAGCAGCAACAAAAACATTAGGCTTTGTTGCAACAATCGAGTCGAGGCAACAATAACAATGCCAGCCATGACAGCAGCAACAACAACAGCAAAAACAGCAGCAGCAACATCAGCTACAACAGCAACATCCATTGCTGGTGGCAATAAAATGCGGCAATTACATAGTTGGCTATTCTAATTCACTCATTTTTAGCTTGAAAAAGGTGCGCCTTGCAGAGGATTGGAATGTTTTTGGTTCTACAGCCAAAGCAACGGTATCAGCAACAACAACGTTACTTGCGGCAGCAACAACAAATCCAGCAACAACTATTAACAGGTGATTCGCCTGAATCTTGCACGAAATGGGTAAAACAAATTCGAGGAAAAATCATTTTAAATGCTTCTGCTGCAGAACTTGAGTCGATTCTTTTAAATGTTAATTTTTTGTTTCTTTTTCTTCTTGCCACAACAATTCAATAAACTTTAAAATGTCAACAGCTGGGCGACAAAAACAAAACAGAAATTGTTTTTTGAAGCCCACGAAATGTTTGACTAAGTTTTGCTTCCGTTTGGCTTGGGGCTCTCAAGTGTCCACTTGATGAATTAAGCGGGAAATTTGCAAAACTTTATTACTTTGGACATTTTGAAAAATGATCGAAAACCGAAGAGACCGAAACTGCAACGGCGGCAGCAGCTGCCAAGGCAATGACAGCGAAACAAAAGTTGCCCAATTGATGTCAAGTTATTGTTGAACGAATCAAAGGGGAATTTTCAAAACACAACTTGCACTTGGCGCCATTATATAAAATTCGCCCCATCACACTGCTCTAATTACATTTTAAGTCGAATCTTTTCGTAATCACAGCTACCACAAAATGCACTTCATTGAAGAGCCGCTCAAAGAAATTTCAGTGTGGCCGGGAGTGTGGGACATGAAACAATCGCCTGGTTGGCCCCGATTGTTAGCGGGTATTATGTTGTTAAGACAGTTTTGACAGTACGTTCGCCTCCACGTGAAGAAGTGCGTTCGAGGCTCACACACATGCCCGCAGCTCAAGTGTCACGGAAATCAAAAGTTAAAAGTAACCAAAAGTTGTTCAATTACTTTTCATAGCGGTCCATTGGACCATGGCAGCAGGTGTCTGAGGTGATGCGAGAGGTACACTGGTTCTATTCAGCAAATGGGGTACATGGTAAACGACTTTCAGTTACAAATTTATTGTAAATAAAATTTCAGTTCATTCTGAAAATATAAAATAGACTACAAGTTCAGGAAATTATATTAACTTGTTTTTTTAACTATTTCTTTTAGAAGGTTCAAAACCATCCCATCCTAGTTTTGAAATTTTAACATTTTGACTGCGGTCTTTGTTAAACGATTTTGGCTTAAGTTTTATAGACGTGCATTGCAAGTTTCTTTATTTTTTCTATAATAAAATAAATGTATAAAGCCTGATTTATAAAAAATTGCAAAGTCATTTAAAGATTATATTTGGTGACCCTGATTTTTATATGTTCAGAATTTTCTTACGTCAATTAATATAAATGTTAAAAGTTCATAATTAAGCCAAGGCAAATTCTTATTTTTGCAACTTAACTATTGGTGTTTTGTACTATCCTCACCATCCATAATAATACATTTTTATCATTCGTTTATTATAACTTCACACTTAAATAAAAATTATTTAAAATGTTAATATAGCTCTTGGTACCTAGGTACTCATATTTTTACAGCACTGACTGTAAGATGAGCTGTTTGAATGTGTAGTTATTTTTCAGTTGCTTGCTTCCCATAGTAATTTCAATATCTTTCTGCAATATCTATTTTAATGCCGTACGCACGCACACATCATCACCTCACAAGTGGTCAATAAAAATGTGAAGACACTCTGAAATCAGTCATCGAAAATAGATTGCTTTTAATTGTTATTTAATCTCGGCTCGTACTGAAAAGTACGATGATACATTCAAGGTTAATTGCTTATGGGATTTGATGTCTGACGGAAGGAAGGAAGGAGGAAGTCGGCTCGAATCTCTCGACACGTCTTCGAGCCTTGTGCAATGATGGCCAATGGATAAGTTTCGGGCCCTCGACTCTTTGGCATGAGCCTCACGTCATAGATTGCATTTTGGCTGAAGTAGAGGTGCTGCGGGAAATTGGGACGCCACATGAACACGTTTGCAGCTTGTGCAATTTTCCCCAGGCAGCCGCATCACGTATTTCTCACCAAACTTATTCTATGTTCTGCTTCTGCTGCTTCTGCCGCTTTCCCAAAAGGCAAACATACAAAAAAGAACAAGAAAAAAAAAAAAAAAAACAGAAAGGGCGACTGTATCTTTGGAAGCTAAGCCGCCGAAACCTATCATCTGACATTCCCAGTGACATTTTCGTCTCGTCTCGATTTCAACTGCAGCGCCCGAGGACCAGACTTCATAAAAGCTTAAATATCAAATTTGGCCGAGTATTTAATGGCCAAGTATTTAATGAAGTCATTTGGGGCGTTGCAGGCTCTAGCTCCAGCTCCATCTCCAGCTCCGACTTGTTATACATCCGCCCCGGCGGCTTCATCATCGTCTGGCCCATTCATTTATCAACGAGCTCCCCAGCAACGAAATGATCGTGCCTCGGCAATGCGATGATCTGCAACATTTTTCACCATCTCAACACTTGGCCAACAGAGAGCAGCGCTCTCTTGGCCATTCTGAGAGATCCATAGACCAGAGCCAGAGCGACTGGGGCAGATGATCTAGAAGTTAGGCGCTAGACTTGCCTCAATTGTTCAAACCGCTTTTTCGTTACTTTTAGGTGCAGTTGGCAACGCGGACGCCGCTGCTTCCGTCGCTGCCGCAGTCGCCGTCGCAGTCGACGCCGCTGCCAGCGTCTCGAGCGTTTATTATAAAAAGCAAGCGCATCTCCATTGTCTAACCTAATTCAAAACGTTCGTGTACTTCGTGCGGTTGACTAGAAAAATCAAACCAGCCGAACTTAAAAAACTCCTTCTAAATAGATTTTCATTTCTAAGACATTTACCCTCCAAAAAAAAACTAAACACCCCCCACCGCCCAGTGAAAGTAAGAGTCAAAGTTTTTTAATAAAACTAAAGTGCCAAAAGGACTGCAGATTAAATTACGTGCAATAAACAAAATATAAATAAATATAAAACCAAGCTCTGCTCTTAATTCCAAGACTCTAATAAAATTTAATTCAATTTCAACTTTAGCCAGCGGCGTTGTGGATACATTATTTTTTGCCATTGTTTGAACACAAATTCGAAACTCAACTAACAACATGATGTCCTTCAAGTCGTTCGTGCTGCTTGTAAGTATTTATAAACAAAACAAGGCCATCTATATTTTAAGAGAAAAATGCTAAGCCTACATAAATCAGTTGGTCAAACAAATCATATGAGATTTTGCAGACGAGTCCTTTGGCTAAAGCAAAACTATGTGGAAAGGCCAGCAAGCTAAGCTCGTTATATGTCAAATTTGTTTATCGCTGGCAGGAAAACGACTAGTGGCTAGTGGTGGTCACTCAGTGTCCTTTTTCGGCCACAATGTCATTTTTCTGCTGCGGCTTTGGTGGAACTTTAAATGGGATTTGCCAGGGAAACTGAAGGAAACTGAGGGAAACTACCCATCAAACTGGTAGTTTCAAGTGCCTGGCAAACAGTTCGGTTTTTTTTTTGTAACACTTGCCGTCAATGGCAACGAAAACGATTGCATAACTTGCCACACGTCATCATCATCAACTTAAGCCCAATCCAAATCCACATGCGAATGTCAAGTGGCGAAGGGGACAAAGTAACCCCGCCGATTGGAACAAATTGCAAATAATCGAAGACACTTAAGTGTACCACTCCGCTCTGGTTAATATATGTACTTCTCTGAGCGGATACAAATACAATATTTGGCAACATCTGTGCGTGCCAAGAGCCACGTAAAATACGCCCCAAATCTAAGCAATATTCCTTGATTGTTCCCAACTAAACACTTGACTCGAGGAGGCAAAAAGGTTAGCAGACGGGGGACACATGTTTGTAATATTTTTCCCCTTCTTATTTAGGTCCCATCTGAAGAAAATTGCAAACCTTTTTTCTACTTCCAACAAATGTAAATATAGCCTTGGCAATCTGAAGTTTTCTAACTCGAAATTTGGTTAGCAAAACTTACCCTTGCTCCAAGTAGAAATGCAAAAGTATCGTAACCAAATTATCAATCTATTACTGCGAATTTACACTTTACTTACTAGAATATCCTCAACACACAGTTTTAAAACATTAAATAGAGGGAAAAGTGAAAACAGTTTATTGATATTGATTTGTTTACATCCTTAATTCCAAGGACCATGGGTTTGCAATTACAAAAAAAAAACTTTTACATTTTTTCGGTTTTTTTCTAAGCTAGAAATTTTAAATCCACTACGACTTAGTAGAAAAGTTCCTCGCTATATTGAAAGTGATATTCTTGCACAATAACAAATTTGAATACGTTTTCAGGGAGGACGAACCTTTCAGTTATCACGAACTTAACCCGCAATCAACTCCACATTTACAAAACCCAAGATACTTTCGCTTTTGTTAAAGCGTTTTGAACCGCGTTGAGGGACGACGCCCTTAAGCAGGCAACAAAATAAAACAGACTCGAGTTTCGCCGGCTGCTCTTTTTGTTGTAACTGGGGCGTGTTAAATTGTTGGTGCGACACTTGGATGCAATGCAGGTCCAGACATAAGACCACACTGTCTGGGATCCATCCAAAGTCCCAGCCCTCTGCCCACACAACGTAACGCGAACACTAAGGAAAAAATATAAAAAAAAACAAACAAATTTATATCAGTTAAAAATAACAAACATAACTTATGCTTACCGTATTTCAAAGGGGATTAAAACAGTAGGCATAAATTAATTATTAAAGGATACGAAAAATATTATTTCTGCTTTAACGTTTTTATATTCAAAAAGCTCATCTAAAATAAGGAAATGAAGTGAAATTATTTTCAATGTAGTATTTCTGAATAAATAAGGGCCCATTTCTGCCAGTGTACTTCTCCAGCACTGGGCGTCTGGTCTTCCAAGCAGATAACTGCCAAAAGGTAACGCAGACGGTAGAAAAGAAATAGAGTTTGAGAGAAGAGAGTAGAACTCCAGCCAGACGCGTGTAATTTGCCGCTTGTAACTTTTTGACTTTTCACCAGCGATTCCGTTTCCCCAAAGCCCCGTTTTTTTTTTTTTTTTGCATTTTTGTTTTGGCCTGGCCGAGGCCAAAAACAGCAGACAAGGACCCGAACCAAAAATAAAAACCAGGAGCCCAACTTCCGCCCACCAGCGGCAGACACTCGATAGACAAATGGCCGCTGGCCAGTCGAGTGCACGGTCTTTTGAGAACATCATGGCGAGCATGTTTTACATGTTAATTTCAGCAGCTCCCCGGCAGCTGGAAAAGCCAACTACTCGCACAACCAGCCATACACCCATACACCCATACACCCAAACACCCACTCACCCAAGTGCTGCATATTAATGCCCATGATCCAGCTGCTCATTTTCGCACGCGAAATTCGAAGAGCCGGCAACTAAGAATCCCAGAAACGATTGGTGGCGATGGCAATGGCGATTGGCAGCCACCGAGTGCCGTTTGGGCACGCTTTTGAATTTCAAATGACAAAGCTAAAATATTCACAGTTTGATATTTGAGTCCGTTTGTTGATGAGCTGGCAAGCCGAAAGTCGAAGCTGCATTCTGCATTCTGCATTCTGCACTCTGCATGCCGCATTCTGCAAATGCTGCATTCGAATTGTTGTAATTTGGCCACAACGAATGGGGAATTGTGAATGCAGCCGGGTCAATGCTGCCTAGCGATTCTGATTAGAGCCGCCTGATTATGGCCAATATATCGCATGCCTGCTCAAAACCCTTTTATCGGCGTCGCTCGACTGCTGACGATTCGAGTGTGAGCAATTGCCCAATGAATGATGGAAATGTAAAGGGTATACGAAAATGGATAGATGCGTTATGGTAGGCTTTTCAAACATCGATAAATAAAAGCTGGTATTAGCTTTTTTATTTCATTTGAATATAAATTATATTTTGTTGATAAGAAGAAATTATAAATCTTCCCTCATCAAAAAATCAGGAATTAATAATCTTTACTAAATGTGAAATGAGAAAAGTGATATAACATCAACCACAAAATATGCTACTTAAGTGAAAAAGTAAAGCAATTATGTAATAAATCCCATTTTAGAGTAGCGTATTCCCCCTTCGATCATTTAGTATCATCGCTCCGTTGCATTACAAATTCAATTTTAATTGAAATAATTTGGCAGATTTGCCAGATTTTGCCTGATGCCGATTGGCATTGCCTCAAAGCTGATCTGTGCTTAGGTAATTGAGCCCGGGGGTCGTCGACGGGCGCTCAGACCCATTCTTCTGCATTCTGCCTTGGGAGTATGCAATTTTGCGGCTTCACCGATATTTGCTACATCTTTGTGCGGTTTTTATTGTCTTTGGCAATGGCTTGAATGCCGGGGGAAAAAAAATCCAACCGAAGTAAACCCAAATAGCAAAAAATTAATGACGCTTGAGCAAGCGGCAAGTGCAGCAGAATTGCCAGAAATTCAAGTGAGGGGCTTTGTAGGGAAAATGGTAACCAGCCAACCATCTGCGCCTTTGTGTGTGTGTGTGTGTGGTAATCTAATTAAATCGAAATTTCAGCTGATTACAAAAGCCCAGCCTCCGCCTCCGAATCCGCTAATTGCCCAACCAAAACCAGGGCGTCCAACGCGGCGTATGCGCAATGTGGATAAGAGGCACTATCTCCTCTATCCCTTGGGCGAGGAATTTTTAATTGCACTATTCGGGCTGCAAGTAGTATTTGGTCGGCGTTTTTGCGGGTCCACAACAGCTGGCAATTGGAAAATTAGTTCACTGGGGTTTTGACTAAAATGTTAACATTTAAATGGCGGAGAAATAACTTTCAGGCGGATGTGCGAAAAACTTGTCCAGTTTTGGGGAATTTCTTCTTTAAAATTAATTAAATTAAGTCATTCCAATTTAAAAAATTAAACTAAATAGTTAGGAAATAAAAATGAAATCAGTTCCAAATTTATTCTTGTTGTTTTGTTCCTATATAATAACAATAATAACATTTTATCTGTCAAGAAAAGTTTATACTTTTGAATAAACAATTCTTGTTAACTTAAATTAAAGAGAATAGATGAATTACATCGTAAACTCAAAATTAAATAACCATTTTTTAAAATTTGAGCGATCTCTTCAAGAAGCTCCCACATAGCTTGTTATAACATTTTAAGTAATTGCGTTTGAAGCTTAACAATTTGCAAATGCATAGTGGGCCATAAACAACTACTTGAAGTATTCGATCGTAGCATATAATTTATCCATTTTTTTCTCGCCCGTTTTTTGGTTATTTAAAAGGTTAATATCTTTATGCACTGGCGGGCTGGCGGCTTTGTTGTGTCGATGTGGGTGTGTTATTTAACTCGGGTTAAATAGGGTTAATGTGGTGTATGAGTGGGACCTTATAATTAATTAGCAAACTACCAAGATGCAGAGAACTTTCGGCTGAAGAAATTGACTTATCATTAACGAATCCCCAAGGAGCCGGAGTCGTGAGACAAGCTGGCCAACCTTTGATCTTTGGCATTGTCCTTGTGGCCGCCGAGCACGTGACTTGATGGCAAACAGCTGGGAACACTGCGCTCATTGCACAAGGAAGGAAAAAAGAAAATGAGTTGATTGAAATCGGCTGGCAAGTTGCTACAAAAGACTCAAGCAGCAAACTGCAATAAAAGTCATTTCCCATTGCAAGCTCTCTTCTCCCGCCGCCTGCCATTCACATGGCCCATTAACTTTTATTTTTGCCAAATTTGCATTTCAATGCCCCAAACTGGGGGAGAGCAGCGACAAAGAGGCGAAAAACCGCACAGCAATAGCAACATGCAACATGCAACAGAGCAACAGAGCAACGGAGCAACAGAGCGATGCAGATGCAGATGGAGATGATGATGGCGATGGCGATGGCGATGAAAAGGTCAACCAAATGTTTGTTGTTCTACTGAACGAGTCGCAACGCGACGCGACGCGACGCGAAGTCGTGTCGTGTGTTGCAAGTGCATGTTAATCTAACATCTATGTAGGGGACTTTTTTCGGTTGTTACTCTGGTAATTGCTGGGAAACAGCTGCGGTGAGATACAGTAAAAAATGTACGAAAATTCCATAAATTAAGAGAACATGGCATCCATAAGTAGGAAGCTTCAAGCCAAACCTCATCGTCGAGCAAGTGTGGGCGTTGCAGAATGCTGCTGGAGTTGTCTAAGGTGCCGCCGCTCCAAAATGATGCAATCATTGTAAAATCCATACGCTTCCAGACCCGATGACGTCTTAATAGCAGGCCCAGAAACAAACAAACAAAATGCCATGGTATAGTTCGAAAAACTAAGACCTCAAACAAAAGTGTAAACTCCTTTCCCACACGGGGGCCAATTAAATGAAATAAAATAAATGCAATGGCAGCATCTCCGTCTAGATTTTTATGAAGACGTTTTGGCGTAAACTTTTTTATTGCCACCATAAACTTCTTGACTTGGCCAATCGGCTTAAGCATATTAAATGCTAACCGCCCATAAATCAACTCGGCTTCAAACACTCGAGTTTGCCATTTAAGCCGCACTCAAAAGGCGATTGTCATAAATAAATGCATCTAAGCGGATCTCTGTAATTCGGCATCCGACTGTGTAAACTGGGTCGTGATCTAATGTGAGCGGGGAGTCCGACAAATGTGAAGATTTCCACAACTATTTTGTATTTATGGTATGCAAAACTCAACCGGAGGTGGGCTGACCTATAAGTTTAATGGAAAAAATCTACATCTTATTTAAAGTTTAATTTACTCAGCTTATCGCTTGCACATGGCGCTCACCTATAATTAATTTAAACAATATTCACTTTATGTTCTGGGTGGCCCTCAACTTGAGTGTCCAGTGGGCGGACACAATATTCTGTCTAGAACTGAAGTACAAGCTCATGCGAAAACATGGCTGAACATATTTCAACTTTTTGACAGACTTCCGCACATACACTTCCATTCTCAATGATTAATTATGGAACCGCTCGAACACAACTTGTTGATTTAATAAAACAAATTATTTGCAAAGAGCTCATTGATGTAATTAACAACTCAGCCTGGCCAACGGCAGCAGCATAGCAGCCATGTAGCATAATAGCTATTTAATAATTCCCGGACAAAGGCAAACAATTGTTAATTTATTGGATTGTGCACGATTAATGATGCTTCAATGCGAGCCGGCTCGTGCCTTTTGGAGTGGGGGAAACCTGCGTGCGATGAGCAATAAGAGTGCGGCCACTTGGCTGAAAATCTTAATCGTAGACTGCTATTTTGGTAGCAACACCGGGGCAAGATCAATGCCAGCCGTTCCAACGATTCAATGTGGTGCTTTTCTGCTGGCCACCGACCATGGCAAATGGGAAACTCACATACCATGGCAACCCAGGGAAAACCTTCAATCTAATAAACACTTTTCTACAATGAGACCAGAACTTGAACCACATAATGGTAGAAGACGTAATTATCACGGTTGCTGAGATTAAAGGAACATTTTCATTAACTGAATAGTCTTGCTGAGCTATAAATATATGCATTCTTTAATAAATATATGTAGCTAGAACTCCAATTATATTTTTCTATAATAATGGTTGGCTTATTTATATTTTTATTTCTTATACAAATTTAGAAAGTATAGGTTCAAGATTTCGACTAATAAAAAAATATATTCTGAACTTGAACTTGCTATTTAGTCTTAAAATAAAATAAGAAACTTTTTACAAATTTTTCAGTCAGGCTGTTGTCTCGATTCCTCCGCGTCTACCAACTTTACCTGTATCTTCTGTTGCACCTTGGTAATCCACAGTTTTTGGCAACTCTATCTCCCTCTTGTCCATTACATTTCCGCTGTCGTCAAGCTGCCGCAATTTATTTCGCGGCTCTATTGTCTCTTATTTAATTAACACGCAAATTATTTGCCGTTATTTTATTGAAGTCAACTGCACTGAGCGTTTTTTTGTTGTACTTGCTGGGCTACAGATAATTACATTTGTTTTACATGCAAAATTGCCGTTGACGTGCTTATTGGCCAGGTTTTTTTGCGCCTGTTGCCGTTTCCAGTTTTGTACTTGAAGAACTTGAAGGTTAGTACCACCCAGCACGGTAATTGCGGAAACTTTAGTGAAGTTAATTAATTTAAATTTAAATTCAGTGGATGGGTGAACAAAATGTAAAAAAAGCCGGAGGAAATTGTTTGATATACAGTGTTAATTTTAAGGATAATAATTAACAAAATAGATAGGAAAAGAAAACAAGGTTTTAGGAATATGGGATATCTTATTTATGAGATTTTAGGTATAATTTTTGAAGATTGTATAACAAAAATCACGTACAAAGAAAATAATTAATATTTTTAACAGGTTTTATATGCAATAGAAAAACCTCATCAAATATAAATAACGTTAAAATGCTCATTTTCGTTAAGTTAATGCATTTTAAGGTATTAAGCGCCTGAATAATAGATTAAAATTAAATTATTAAAATACCTGAGAAGGTAAACTGCAAATGGTTTCGTGATAAAATATATTTTAAGCATCGATAAAAACTCGAACTCGCCTGAAATGCGGTATATACAAAATTCAATTAAATTTATTTATATTTTCGCGAAAATAGCTTCCCCATCGCGATTAAACGATTCAAGTGAGTTTATCCATGGGAAAGCCTCGTGCGAAGCGGAATCCCACTTTCCTTGACCAAACAGATTCCCAAGCGGCTGAAGTTACACGTTTGGCCCACACGTCGTATGTGCAATTAAGCGATATGCACACACAACTAATCAGCAAACAATGTGAAGCAGTTCCCACCTGGGATGCTAATGATAATAATGATCAATGCCCCAGCAATGACCGCTTAGAATATATTCGCGGTCTGTGAGTAATTTAGTGCCAGTGCAGCATTTCCGCAATCCGTTGCAGCATGTAAATTGAAAAGTTGGCAGGCAGCAGCAAAAAAACAAAAAAAAAAACAAATAACAGGCATTAGATGACAGACAGAAGCCCCGCAGCTTGGCCAAGTGGTTATGGCAACTGGTTGACCGGTGGCTGTCAGCCAGCTGATGGATGGCTGCAATCTGCAATGTGGGGCTGCGTTGACGAGCTGCCGTCGTCACCAGCACCAACCATGTGATGTGCATGTGTCAATTAGCCGTGTTTAAAGAGCGGAATCAGCGGCAGATCGCCACCAACCACCAACCACCAACCTCCGCCATTTGTTGCCCTTTTGCGGGCGATGAGCAAACGCTAAACGCAAACGCCTTTTGGGCACGTTCTAAATAAATTGCAGCCGCTTTGGCTTTGGCTTTGGCTTTCGATGCACCTGCTCGGTGACTGAAGCTGAATGTCAGACGCGATCTTATCGCCACTTCTACATCCATTTGCAACCGTTCACTTTTCAATTCGCCCTCTTAATTTAACCTTTAAGTCACTGATATAATGTCGCACCACCTTCTTACACAGGAAAAAATATTAATAGTATTAGTATTAGTAATATTATTAGTATTGTAAGAGTACCAAAAACAGAAACAAATTTAATATTTTATTTGTATTATTATTTAGTATAATAATTTTAAATGCTTTTAAGGTACAAAAGAATCTACTATTTTTGAAATCGTTTTAAATAACTGATTTAAGCGGTCTGCATAATATAAAATATTAATCTAATTTATGACGAGAGAGACAATTTTTTTAGGATTGCAAACCTATAAAAATGTAAGATGTTCGAATAGTAATTATAGTTTGAAGACTTTGGTGGGAAAAGAAAAATGTATACAACACGAATTACAATACATTTTAAGAAAAGTTTTAAGTGTACAATTGTTTAGTAAATTGTATTTTATATTGTTTTGCAGAGTTTATCCCTCGCTGCCATCAGTGCCTTTGCCTACGCCCAGATCGCCCCTGGATCCAACGCATACCTCCCGCCCACCAAGAACGGCTACGACTACTCGGAGCCCAAAACCCCATTCGTGAGTACAGAAACAGATACAGATCCAATCTGAGTTATCTGGCCGTGTGGCCTGGTCAACCGCTCCAAATTGAATCCCAGTCAACGGACTAATTACGCCCATCATTCTGGGAGCAGTTGCAGAGGCAGCCAACTCCAGTCGGCAGAGGCAGTCGAGATTTGTCACCGCATTTATCACCCAGAGTGCTGTGGCTCAACTCAATAAATGCTGCATGTCATGCTGCTGAATGTCGGCCCAAAATGATGGCAACTTTTCGAATCGGTCGGTGAAGGGTTTTAGCTTTGGCAGTTGAAAATGACTGGAAGTTAACCTTTAGAGATCTCAATACCGAACGGCAGATCGTTGCGAAAATAACACAATGCAGGTGAACTTCCATAATGCGAAGTTCAGCCAATCAAGTTTCCTTTAGCTTACAAAAAATTGTGTGGCAAAATAAACTAGGTTTCGTTTGGAGTTATAAATCAGTCAGACAGCCATAATTTTTCAACTATAAATGGGTAGTTAGGCAAGTTTTCTTTGCCTTATGAGTTTTTTTTATTTTTTTACCTTATGTGTACCATTTCCGATTTTCATATTTTCTTGGACCATTTTTATAGTCTTCCATTTACTAAAATTTATGAAAATCCACAGAAGCCCGGCCCACCTGGCAGACCAGCAGCGCCCGGACCTCGGCCACCAGCACCACCCGGCACTCCTCGCAACATTCCCGGGCAGCCAGCCGATGTGAGTATACCCCCCATAATCATAAGACATTAAAAAAAGATCAAAGAGCACTTGTTTGTGTACTTACCAGTGTAATTGATTTTTCAAAGATCAATATTTATATCAATTTAATGTTCATCGCAATGTTCACTCATAATAGTCACTCAAAGATCAAAAATTTAAATGATATTTTAATGATCTTAGTAAAATTATATGTTTCAAACCTATCAAATAAGCATTTAAAATGATCTACCAACAAATCTCAAAGTTCAGTTATCTGTTTAAAAAAAATTGTTATGTAAGTTTGAAGACAAAAATCAGTAGTGCATTTAAATTTTTTAACCATAAATTGTCTGCTCTTTAAAAATAAGCAATAATATTTATGGTTTTATTCATTAACTTAGGACCATGTCCATGTGCCTGGCATGCCTTACGATTTCGCGTACGCCGTTCAGGACCCGGAGACCGCCAACGACTATGCGCACAAGGCGTCCAGCGATGGCGACGTGGTGACCGGCGAGTACCGCGTCCAGATGCCCGACGGACGGACCCAGATCGTCCGCTACACCGCCGACTGGAAGACGGGCTACCACGCCGACGTGACCTACGAGGGCGAGGCCACGTTCCCGCAGGGTCCCCAGCCAGGAGCACGAGGAGGCGGCGGCGGTGGTGCCGGTGGTGCCGGCGGGTACAAGTACTAGGCTTGGGTGTTGCTTCGACTGGGTCAGCTGGCGTCACATATCTTGCGAAACGTGTAAGCCTTACGATATACCAATAAAAAGTATTGATAAACTAAAGCGACCACTGGTGTTTGAATTCCTGGATTATAGTTTACTCCTCGAGCTTTACGATATAGAACAGCACGCCCTCTAGAGTTCATCATTGCTGAAGCTTTCGTTGAACCCCTTTTAGAAAAAACTTCAACCCCAACTTACAAGTATAAATTATTTAAAGAAATTGTACAGATTTAGATAAGTAGTATGTCTGCTATGGTCATGGTTATGAGAGCTTTGAAGCCATTCTACAACTTATTCATAATATTTATAATAGAACATTAAAGTATCTGAATCTGTTTATGATGTTTGTAGCCGTTTTTTATAAATTTTGAAAATGATTCCTATTTATTTGTTTTTTGATTTTTAGAAAGTCAAAATATTTTTATATTAAACTGGTCTTTGTAGCCCAACTGAAATATTTTATCATCTTGACTTAATATGTTATTGAAATTATTACAGCATATATGAGTATTTTGTAATTATGTTCCTAATAATATGCAATATGTGAAAATTGCTTCATTTTGCCTTACTCAAAAATGCATTAACAAAATAAAAACTACTTTTAAGTTCATAATTAAAGGGAAAATTTTATAGATAAACCATCTTAATCTATAAAGAATAAGTTATATTCCAAGATCCATATCCAAAATATATATATATATTATAGATAAACAATCTTAATCTATAAAGAATAAGTTATATTTCAAGATCCATATCCAAAAAATATATGTATATATATACGACTTTAAAATGGGCTAATAATAATATTTGCATTTCAGTTTGCTAGTATTAATACACTTTCCTTGGCTCAGTACAACAAACAAAAAATCCCTATCTTCCTACTTTTCAATAACCTCATTTGCAAGTCGCCCTCTGTTGGGCACTTGGGAAAGCTCAATTCGAATGTCACATTTGGCCAACGGCATCTGGTCTCCTCCCGCGCAAAATTCTCCGGACCGAAAGCTCCGGCTCCTGCCAACTGTCACCATTTGCCAGCTGGAGCAACAGATGCTCGGCCAGCTGCCAGGACACGCACGTCAACTTGGCCCAAACGCAGGCGCGCTGGCAGGTAAACAAACACCTGTGGGACGCATTCCGTGGATTCGTGAGGTAAACAAGTGAATGGCGCAGAATCGCTAAATGTCAGGGCAGGCGCACAGCGTCGCTAGAAGAGTGCAGCGAATGGCCAGGGTGGCCACTCAGGGGTCGTCCCTTTCTGGCCAACGGACTTCACGTTGGGGAGCTTTAAGCTAACCCAGAAACGTCAAAGAAACGTCAAAACGGGCCACGACAGTGTAGAGAGAAAAGTTTTCGCTGGCCAACAACACACACACACCGAAAGTAGCAGGGTCGCGCGAGAAAATTGCTGGAAAAAATTCATTGAAAAATCGTGAAAAGTGCCACAAAGAAAATGTTCTGTGCCTGAGGGACTGTGAGAGATATAGAGCCGCATCTGAAGTGGATCCAGTGACGCCGCGGGTGTTATGCTACCGGATGGCCAGTTCAGGTGGCCAAAACCGAGCTAACGGGATATGTGGTGCAAGCGAGTGCGTGTATGCGATAGCGAGTGTGTGAGTGTGAGTGCAGCTGCAAAGTAGGCTAAGAAAATCGCATCGCAGCCTGGTATTTATGTCGCGCTCCCGCTCGATCGACCTCCATCAATCAGCAGTTAGTGGATCATTGGAATCAGAGAAGGATCATCGGCATCGCGGGGAATCATGGCCTGGTCGCGACTCCTGGCCTGGTGGCGCCTCTGTTTGGGCCTGCTCTCCGTCCTGGTCTGTTTGGCCCCGTGCGTCAATCTGCAGCCAGCCGAGAACATCAACTACAATCTGTGAGTGCCCGCGGCAATTTTCCATTTTCCGGGCCTTTCCCCACTCAACCATAATACCCGTTTCGACTTTTCCAACTCCAGCGTTCATTCGTGGGCCGACAAACTGGGCACGGAGCTGTTTCATCTGGGCGATTTCATCACCAGGCGCAAGGAGGTGCAAGAGGTGAGACGAGAGCATTTTATCGATTTTTCCGCCGCTCCGTTTTTCCCCATTTTCCGTTTCCCATTTACCACCCTCCCCCCTCTCTATTGCCCCCCCGCTGTGTGTGTTTTCGGTTCTGTTTTTGTGCGCTCCTTGTTGACGTCTCTCTGAGGCTGAGACTTCGGCTCCGAATTTGGGTTAAAGGCTGCCCGAGCGGCAATTATAAAAAATGTAAAGCAGAAGCCAGATGGCAAGCTGTAAGGCAGTAGGTCGAAGACCCAATGCTCTAAAAATCTAGGCAGTAGACAGTAAATTAGTTATTTCAAACTCTATTTAAATGGTTTATAAACCAGTGAGGTTGTTTAAGTTGAATTAAACCGTAGTGACACATGATTAAAGAGCTTTTTAATTGAAATTAGTATTAGTATCTACTGGCTGATTTGTAATTTACTCAAGTCGGTAAACGTTATCATATAGCTGCCATAGGAACGATCGAGTTATAAAGCTGAATGTCATAATAGCTCAATGTTTGTTAAACATATACGCATATAAATCGAAGATGTTTTAAGAAATATTTAATTTTGCAATAGCTGATAAGGTATATAAACTTTGGCTGGCCAAAGTTTTCTTTTTTTCTTGTTTTTAAAAAACCAAGTTTAGTTTCAAAAGGTTTACATATAATTAAATATTCTGCAATGCTCAGTTAAAAATGAATATTAAACAAATATAAGTGCTTAATAGATGGTTTTATATTAAGTTGCCGTTTTATGAGCAAGGGTATCCATGTAAGCACTGAACCAGTAAATCATAATGTGTAGGCGACTTTCGGTCGCCATTATCTCCATTTGATGTCAGTTGCTGTCCGGCACAGCTGGTAATTTATTTTTAGGCATCGCAATTGGATTACAAATTAAATGTTTGTGCCTCATGAGTTATAACCGCATGTGCGCCAACTGTTTATAATATTCTATATGCATGTACATATATGTGTTAGCCGATGGGCCCTTTGGGACCTCTAAATGGGCCTTACGGGGTGGTTCCGCTTACGCTGCGTATACGTACTTTTGGTATGACAATGGTATGGGGAAATAATGAAATAATGCTTTTCTTCTTGTAACATTTGGCTAATATATTATTGATGTTCACACAGAGTTTCAAGGATGCGAAAGTCGTTTCGCGCAATGGCGCCTCCATCGTCGATTCGATGGCCAAGGAAATCGAAATGATGATGGACCTAAAAGTCAGTGCAGTGAGGGTAAGTACACCCCCCATAACTTGTCATATAATGTCTATTTAAATACTGTGTTACCTTTAGCGCATTATGGACACGGCTGAGAACACGGCTCTGTCGCATCAGAACGATATGGCGGACAAGATGTTCTCCTACTACAGTGCCAAGGAGATGCTGGAGCCCGGCGATCCCGTACCCCCCATTCCCACCCCGGCGCCAGATATGGATAAGGATATAGGCGAGCCGCTTATCTATGTCCAGCCGAAGGTGGTGGTGCTGGAACCGCGTCCCGAATTCCACAACACTCCGGTCAACTTCAGCGTCAGCTCGGTCCACGTGCCGGTCAATGTGTTCGATCGAGGTTTGGAATAATACTCATCACTATAATCCGTATACCTCTTCTCTCCGCTCTCCACCTATCTCTTTCTCTCTGTATTTCTCTCTCTTTCGCTCTACGTAATTGTAACCGTATTTGTCGCCTGTGTGTGTTATCTTTATTTGACGACCCTGTTTTTTATTCTGTTGCGGTCGAGTTTGGGGTACTGAGATTGTATTTCAATTTCAAAAAATATATTGGCGTTTCCCAAACGAAATTAACATTCTGGCAGATCATCAATTTTGTTTTACGTTGAGTTAAGAAAAATCATTCATTGGTATATAATTGTTAATACAAAAAATATTAACAGATAATAAATTAAACCTTAAATCTTCAATTATAATATATATAAGCACCCCAAACTCGATCAAACAGGGTTGTATTTAATGCTTTTAAGTCAAACACGAGCTGTAAACTAACGAAACACTCTTCGTCTCTGTCTAGCTGCCAGAAAGTAGAATTTTAAAATCGCCTCTAGCTAGCTCGCTCTCTATCTATCTCGCTCACTCGCTCCTTAGCTTTTGCTAGATCGCTTGACCGTAAAATTTCATTTTTTCGTATGCCATATAAACTTTATATTATAATACAAAATGTATAATATAAAGTCGTACGCTGCGCCTCCTTTATATTTGTTTTTGTTTCGATTTTCAAACCGCTTGCGTCAATGCGTGCGAGGGACGCGTGCACACGTCAAGCAGCGCATTGCGCCGCCCGGCCCACCCACAACTGTACCTAATGACCCGCCGACATTGGCAATCCTGCGATAGCTAACAACCGATAGACCGATCTTACCGATAGACCGATCATCCGCCGGGGCCGCTGGCGGTGCAATGCGCACGTTGACGACGCGCTCGCGTTTTGCGCCGGGGAATGCAAAATTGCGAATGCGAATGCTCCACTGCCGACACACGCGGAATGCTTGCCAAAAACCGTATAACACCCAACTTGAGCCACCAGAACACGTACCCAGAAAAACACCTGAGAGCCCGTAAAATAGACTCAACTAGGATTAAGTGCGCGAGCGCAGATCGCAGAGGAGAACTAATCGTGTTTCTTGCTAAATTCTTTCCATTTCTTTTGACATGATCCACACACACACACACACACACCCACACAAAACAACTAAACGATTATCATCATTACATACCCAATTAATACCAATCATACCGATCACACGACACAGCACCGGATGTGATTAAGGCAATTCAGTGGTCGGAGAATTTGGATCAGATATTCCGCGACAATTACAAAAACGATCCCACGTTGTCGTGGCAATTCTTTGGCAGTTCGACTGGCTTTATGCGTCAATTCCCTGCATCGAAGTGGCGCAAGGACGTACCGGTCGATCTATACGATTGCCGACTACGCTCCTGGTACATGGAGGCGGCGACGAGTCCAAAGGATATTGTTATCCTGATGGATGGATCCGGTTCAATGT